CGCGGTATCAGTCAATGCACTACTTCCTGATTCGCGAAACTACGGAGTGCCCCGAGGCTCACATAGCCTGGACACCTCACAAACTGTTCCTCTACAACGGCAAGAATATCCACGCAGTGTGTGTATAGTTTGGTCAAGCCAGACTAAGGCTTGCGTTAATCGTGCGTCAAAAAAATTAGTGGCGATAAAAGTCACTCGAGTTAACGCGACAATAACGCGTTAACTTTGACAGCCTTAATATATATATATATATATATATATATATATGATGTTTCTATTTGCGACAGAGGCTGAGATATCAGTTTTTTTGTAAACCTCAACAGTTAAGAAAACCTCAGGACCTGGGGGCCCGTCTAGGGTTCCCAACCGTACCGTAAAAAACGGGATCGTACCATATTTGAAAACAAAAAGACATGTCCCGTAATGAACTAAAATGGGATACTCCTTTTCCCGAATTTTCTGACAGCGTCTCTCTGCCTAACACACTGTCACAGGCTCACATCAGCAGCTTGAGCTATGGGACAAGTTACAAAACACAGCAGACTACCAGCTATGGGTTGTTAACAAGAGCGTGTTACGTGTTATACTACACTATGCTGCAGCGAGGCTTTCAGTTTTACACAGCTCTGGACACAAGTACTTAGTAAAACAAAGAGGGGTGTGTGATTATGTCCTCTCTGGTTCCATAGGCAGTTTTAGGATTTGCCAACAGGGGGTGCAACTTTCCAGAGAAGTAAGTCTTTTCTTTTGGTTTGTTTTTTGCAAGGCCAAACCTGGAAGACTCATGTTTACCGATTTACAATAGGATGTGATGTTTTAGTTTGTAATATTTTTAGGAGGTTATATAATTAAGGTTAACTGTAATAAAGTGTTTGCACTTTGACTTCTTGAATAAGTCAAACATTGTTTCAATATGGTGACATTGCACTATATGTTCCATGAAGAATTATTATTATTTTGCACACAATAAATTCTTCAATGATACATTAACTGCGTTTCCATTACCCATAGATTTGCGCAAAACCTAAATATAGCAATAGAAAACTGGTAATGGAAACACCTAAATTTCAGAAAAACCTCTCAAATATCGCTAAAAGGTTTTTACGCTCTCATGAGGTGGTTTTTCAGACGTGTCGATATACAAGTATATCGCAAAAGTGTAATGGAAACACTATTCTTGCAATTCTCTGTCACCGGACGTGACGTAGCGGGTCAAGTGACCAGTTCATTTCAAGCGAAATGTGTGTATGGACGGGGGAGGAGACGGAGTTATTTCTGAGGTTTTGAATTGTATTTGTATTTTTCTGAAGTTTTGAATCCACAATTCGTCCATGAATTCCTCATTAACGATCCTCCCCCAGAAATCCCTCATCCGTGTCCGCTCCCATACATACGGGTTTGAATACGGAAGTGAGCAGAATGACCGAACATGGAGCTAAACGCAGAGCTGAGGGCAGCAAAACAGATGTCAGCTGTGACTTTGGGTCATCCTCAGAAGATGTTATAGTTGAGGAGTTATTCAACGTCTCTCCAAAGTGACGTCGAGCAATTAAGCCGATAAACTGGCAACATAACAAATCTTTTCTCCTCGAGTGATTATGCGGGAAGCATGAAAATGCGAGCGGAGTCTGTACAGCCTGTCACTGCTGACGGTACGAGTAGCATTAGCAGTTTAGACACAACTAGCGGTGCAGCCACCAGACCAAAGCAGCAATCAGTCATATCCATACCTGCCAACACTCCCATTTTCCCCGGGACTCTCCCCTATTTCAGACGTAGGCCTGTCACGATGACAAATTTTGCTGGACGATAATTGTGCTACAAATTATCGCCGATAAACGATATTATTGACACCGTTTTTTAAATTATACATAATGATATTATATGGCATAATAATGCGAGTACACCTTGTCAAAAGTGATAAACTTTAATTTCCACTGTCTGTCAGCGCGCACCATTTTGCGCTGTTTTGTTTATATTTGCTTTGCTTACCAAACGCTTCAGTAAGCGGTACCTGTCGGGACGATGGCTCCGCAGCACCTCCGGTGGTACTTTTTTTGCTCTGTTGAGAAAAATGGAGGGGATGATTGTGCTTGAGGTGCACATGCATGTTCGTCGTATTCCCCCTCTTTGTCACCACAACTTTGGAACAAATACGACATATCGGCTCGTCTGTATATGTGGGGTCACCTCTTTCATTTGGTTTAAAGCAGTGTTGTTTTCGTCATATTTCGTCAAATATTTTCGTCAACGCCAGCGTCAAAAAAGGTAAATATTTTCGTCAACGAGAACAACACTGGTTGTTTTCGTTGACTAAAATATTTCCCTTTCTTCCACGATGAAGACGTAACATTGACGAGCTAAACATAAGTCGGAGATGACTAAAATGTGACGAGACGAAAGTGCGTTTACGTTGATGGGACGAGACGAAAATGACAAACAGACTTGCAAAACTCAGTCAGTTAAACGCTCAACATACAGGAGCAGCTTCAGTCCGCTCTGACAGCTCTCATCAGCCTGCTGTGCTCCTCCAACACACAGACACACACGCGCGCACACACACACACGAGTTTTGTGGTTGACGAAAACAAAACTGGTTTAAAGCCGAAATATTCCCACACTTGGGCTGTTGCGTTCGGTTTAGACACCAAAGCTGTCGTGTTCATTCTGTATGCTTGCTTGTCACTCACGACGCTCACTTGCAGCACTGTATCCAAAAGTCTGTGTCTGTGTGCCTGACTGTGCGCGCCAGCCCCCTCGTGACAGGTGGTGCTGTGGTGCTTTGGAAAGACAAGTGCCTAAAAATGTGTGTAATACAAACTCCCTATCAAATGTGGAAGTACTCCAAAGATATTTGCAGTCAGCATGTAACCAAAGTAATTTTTGATTATGGTATGACAGCACCATCTAGTGGTGTGCTTCAGTGACTGCCCTACATATAAATATACAAAGTGTGAGAGAGCTGCAGCTGAGAAAGACATGTAAAAGAAAATAATGAAAAGTGCTAAACATGTGTTTCAGTGACTGCCCTACATTTACATTAGGAAAGTGTTACAGAGCTGTAGCAAAAAAAGGTGTATTCATATAAAATCATGAAAGTGCAAAATAAGTGTCAAAAGTATTAAGAGCTGTTAGTTGTTAATACTTGTATGAATGTAAAATATGCTCAAGTGAAGAAAAAGTTGTATGACTTATGTAAAAAAAAGGAAAAAAGATCAGTTTAGGTGCTTTAAAAAGACAAGTGCCTAGAAATTGATGTATGACAAACTCCCCATGAAAAATGGAAGTACTCAAAAAATGTTTGCAGTCAGTGTGTAACCATAGTAATTTTTGATTATAGTATGACAGCATCATCTAGTGGTGTGCTTCAATGACTGCCCTACATATAGATATAGAAATTGTTACAGAGCTGAAGCAAAAAAAAGGCATTTGAATGTAAAATTATGAAAGTATGAAGAAGTGGTATTAATCTCAAAAGTATAAAGGGTACAAATTTTAATACTTTTATGAATGTAAAAAAGGCTCAAGTGAAGAAAAAAGACTTTTGTGAATAAAAATAAATAAAGATCAGTCTAGGTGCTTTGGAAAGACAAGTGCCTCGAGATTTATATATTACAAACTCCCCATGAAATGTTGAAATATTCAAAAGAGGTTTGCAGTCAGCAGCGTGTAACCATAGTCACTGGTAGCGGCACAACACTACCCTATAGTGTGCTTCAGTTACTAACTTACCAAGCTGAAGCACACCGCAAGATGGAGTAGTGCGTGCAGACAGGGTGTGTAGGAAATCGACAAGCACACAACACATGAGAAGTGCTCCACCATGGGTGAAGTGGATACCGTCTGAACTTCTTTACCTGGCGCAGTTTTTTAAGTGGTATTATGAAAATAAGACCATCTTAGGAATTCTGGCACTCTCATGATCACTTCTAATTGTACAGGAAAAAGTGAAATATTGCAAAAAGTATAAATGGTAGAAAGGTGAAAAGTTCACCCCACTAGATGGTGCTGTCATACCATAATCAAAAATTACTATGGTTACATTCTGACTGTAAACTTCTTTTGAGTACTTCCACATTCCACGGGGAGGTTGTAATACATACATTTTTAGGCATTTGTCTATCCGAAGCACCTCGACTGATCATTTTTCCTTGTAATGCACATAAGACATACAATTTTAGCAATTTTTTTTTATTTTTACCTTCATCCAAGTATTTTAGCTTCAGCTCTGTAATATTTTCTACATTTTTATGTGGGGAAGTCACTGAAGCACACCACTAGATGGTGCTGTTTTTCCATTATTACAAATGAGTCTCATCACCCTGTGATGAAGAAAATGTCAAGATGGAGAACCAACCATCAATGGTCACATATTGCCCCCTACCCAATTGAAAAATAAAAGCCCTTTTTCTGTGTACGAACCAAACTTTTGAAATAAAGAACAATTATGACAAACCGAAAGTTGAACATACAGGGCTCCAGCATCAAAATGGAGAATCAACTTCAAATAGCTCCAGAGTGCCAGCTTCAAATTAAAAAAAAAAAAAAGTAAGCCCCACTCCTGTGTTTGACCAAAACCTTTGGAATTGATGTCACTTATGTTTGACCTCAAGACAAACAAAAATGGGTTCAATGTCAAAATTGAGGTCCTTCAAGAAATAACTACATAGCACCCCTTCATAATTTCAAAATGAAACCCCTGCTTCTTTGAGTGACTCAGACCAATGGACTAACAGACACTTATCTTGGATCCAACTGAAAATGGCACGACTGCGTTCTCTACAACATTTCTAAATGAAAGCCCTGCTCTGGTGCGCGTCCAAAACCTGTGGAATTAGTGACACTGAAGTTGAACCTTAACACGAACAAAAACAGTTTGAATATCAAAATGGAGATCCATCAAAACATGGCTCTATGGCGCCACCTTCAAATTTCTTCAGTGTGAACCACGCTCCTGTGTTTGACCTAAACCTATGAAATTGATGACACTTATGTTTGACCTCAAGACGAACAAAAAGGGTTTAACTGTCATAATGGATATCCATCATAAAAAGGCCCCATAGCGCCCCCTTCAAAATTTCAAAACGTAAACCCGCTCCTGCGGTCCAGACAAGTGGATTCAATGACACTTATCTTGAACCCCAAGAGGAAAAGAAATGGGTGCCAATGTAAAAATTGGGGACCCATCAAAAAATTCCTTCATTTCTCCCTCTACAAAATTTCAAAATGTAAGTTCAGCTCCTGTGTTTGACCTAAACCGAGGGATTCAATGACACCTACGTTGGACTCAAAGTTAAACAAAAAGTTTTCCACTGTCAAAATGGATTTCCAACAAAAATGTGGTCATAGCGCCCTCTACAAAAATTTCAGGACTCAGTGCTGTATTTGAAGTCTGGTGTATACCCTGTCAATAGGAATGGAGCCAGGACCGTCCGTTGTGGAACCCCTGTACTTCTCAATAAGGCCCAGAAACACAGTTCCCCAGCGTGAAGAACTGTGTGATTCCTGTCAGGCAATTTGTGATCCAGGAAACACAGGTAGGATCCACGCCCATCTCTGTGGGCTTGTCTTTTAGTATGATCGGTTGGATGGTGTTGAACGTTATGGTGACCTGTTGTTATGATGACCTGTCAGTTCATTGACCTATTGTTATAAGTGGTATCATAAAAAAATAAGACCATCTTAAGAAGAGAGACTGATTTTTATTAGAAAACATAACCTGAAACTGGATATCTCTTGCAGGGTTTTATAGTCTTGAATATGTAAAGGATTCGTAATATCATTGACTTTGAAACCATTTAAGTTTTTTTTGTAGGATCAGATTAACAAAAAACAACTGGCACTCTCATGATCACTTCTAATTGTACAGGAAAAAGTGAAATATTGCAAAAAGTATAAATGGTAGAAAGGTGAAAAGTTCACCCCACTAGATGGTGCTGTCATATCATAATCAAAAATTACTATGGTTACATTCTGACTGTAAACTTCTTTTGAGTACTTCCACATTCCACGGGGAGGTTGTAATACATACATTTTTAGGCATTTGTCTATCCGAAGCACCTCGACTGATCATTTTTCCTTGTAATGCACATAAGACATACAATTTTAGCAATTTTTTTTTATTTTTACCTTCATCCAAGTATTTTAGCTTCAGCTCTGTAATATTTTCTACATTTTTATGTGGGGAAGTCACTGAAGCACACCACTAGATGGTGCTGTTTTTCCATTATTACAAATGAGTCTCATCACCCTGTGATGAAGAAAATGTCAAGATGGAGAACCAACCATCAATGGTCACATATTGCCCCCTACCCAATTGAAAAATAAAAGCCCTTTTTCTGTGTACGAACCAAACTTTTGAAATAAAGAACAATTATGACAAACCGAAAGTTGAACATACAGGGCTCCAGCATCAAAATGGAGAATCAACTTCAAATAGCTCCAGAGTGCCAGCTTCAAATTAAAAAAAAAAAAAAGTAAGCCCCACTCCTGTGTTTGACCAAAACCTTTGGAATTGATGTCACTTATGTTTGACCTCAAGACAAACAAAAATGGGTTCAATGTCAAAATTGAGGTCCTTCAAGAAATAACTACATAGCACCCCCTTCATAATTTCAAAATGAAACCCCTGCTTCTTTGAGTGACTCAGACCAATGGACTAACAGACACTTATCTTGGATCCAACTGAAAATGGCACGACTGCGTTCTCTACAACATTTCTAAATGAAAGCCCTGCTCTGGTGCGCGTCCAAAACCTGTGGAATTAGTGACACTGAAGTTGAACCTTAACACGAACAAAAACAGTTTGAATATCAAAATGGAGATCCATCAAAACATGGCTCTATGGCGCCACCTTCAAATTTCTTCAGTGTGAACCACGCTCCTGTGTTTGACCGAAACCTATGAAATTGATGACACTTATGTTTGACCTCAAGATGAACAAAAAGGGTTTAACTGTCATAATGGATGTCCATCATAAAAAGGCCCCATAGCGCCCCCTTCAAAATTTCAAAACGTAAACCCGCTCCTGCGGTCCAGACAAGTGGATTCAATGACACTTATCTTGAACCCCAAGAGGAAAAGAAATGGTTGCCAATGTAAAAATTGGGGACCCATCAAAAAATTCCTTCATTTCTCCCTCTACAAAATTTCAAAATGTAAGTTCAGCTCCTGTGTTTGACCTAAACCGAGGGATTCAATGACACCTACGTTGGACTCAAAGTTAAACAAAAGTTTTCCACTGTCAAAATGGATTTCCAACAAAAATGTGGTCATAGCGCCCTCTACAAAAATTTCAGGACTCAGTGCTGTATTTGAAGTCTGGTGTATACCCTGTCAATAGGAATGGAGCCAGGACCGTCCGTTGTGGAACCCCTGTACTTCTCAATAAGGCCCAGAAACACAGTTCCCCAGCGTGAAGAACTGTGTGATTCCTGTCAGGCAATTTGTGATCCAGGAAACACAGGTAGGATCCACGCCCATCTCTGTGGGCTTGTCTTTTAGTATGATCGGTTGGATGGTGTTGAACGTTATGGTGACCTGTTGTTATGATGACCTGTCAGTTCATTGACCTATTGTTATAAGTGGTATCATAAAAAAATAAGACCATCTCAAGAAGAGAGACTGATTTTTATTAGAAAACATAACCTGAAACTGGATATCTCTTGCAGGGTTTTATAGTCTTGAATATGTAAAGGATTCGTAATATCATTGACTTTGAAACCATTTAAGTTTTTTTTGTAGGATCAGATTAACAAAAAACAACTGGCACTCTCATGATCACTTCTAATTGTACAGGAAAAAGTGAAATATTGCAAAAAGTATAAATGGTAGAAAGGTGAAAAGTTCACCCCACTAGATGGTGCTGTCATACCATAATCAAAAATTACTATGGTTACATTCTGACTGTAAACTTCTTTTGAGTACTTCCACATTCCACGGGGAGGTTGTAATACATACATTTTTAGGCATTTGTCTATCCGAAGCACCTCGACTGATCATTTTTCCTTGTAATGCACATAAGACATACAATTTTAGCAATTTTTTTTTATTTTTACCTTCATCCAAGTATTTTAGCTTCAGCTCTGTAATATTTTCTACATTTTTATGTGGGGAAGTCACTGAAGCACACCACTAGATGGTGCTGTTTTTCCATTATTACAAATGAGTCTCATCACCCTGTGATGAAGAAAATGTCAAGATGGAGAACCAACCATCAATGGTCACATATTGCCCCCTACCCAATTGAAAAATAAAAGCCCTTTTTCTGTGTACGAACCAAACTTTTGAAATAAAGAACAATTATGACAAACCGAAAGTTGAACATACAGGGCTCCAGCATCAAAATGGAGAATCAACTTCAAATAGCTCCAGAGTGCCAGCTTCAAATTAAAAAAAAAAAAAAAGTAAGCCCCACTCCTGTGTTTGACCAAAACCTTTGGAATTGATGTCACTTATGTTTGACCTCAAGACAAACAAAAATGGGTTCAATGTCAAAATTGAGGTCCTTCAAGAAATAGCTACATAGCACCCCCTTCATAATTTCAAAATGAAACCCCTGCTTCTTTGAGTGACTCAGACCAATGGACTAACAGACACTTATCTTGGATCCAACTGAAAATGGCACGACTGCGTTCTCTACAACATTTCTAAATGAAAGCCCTGCTCTGGTGCGCGTCCAAAACCTGTGGAATTAGTGACACTGAAGTTGAACCTTAACACGAACAAAAACAGTTTGAATATCAAAATGGAGATCCATCAAAACATGGCTCTATGGCGCCACCTTCAAATTTCTTCAGTGTGAACCACGCTCCTGTGTTTGACCGAAACCTATGAAATTGATGACACTTATGTTTGACCTCAAGATGAACAAAAAGGGTTTAACTGTCATAATGGATGTCCATCATAAAAAGGCCCCATAGCGCCCCCTTCAAAATTTCAAAACGTAAACCCGCTCCTGCGGTCCAGACAAGTGGATTCAATGACACTTATCTTGAACCCCAAGAGGAAAAGAAATGGGTGCCAATGTAAAAATTGGGGACCCATCAAAAAATTCCTTCATTTCTCCCTCTACAAAATTTCAAAATGTAAGTTCAGCTCCTGTGTTTGACCTAAACCGAGGGATTCAATGACACCTACGTTGGACTCAAAGTTAAACAAAAAGTTTTCCACTGTCAAAATGGATTTCCAACAAAAATGTGGTCATAGCGCCCTCTACAAAAATTTCAGGACTCAGTGCTGTATTTGAAGTCTGGTGTATACCCTGTCAATAGGAATGGAGCCAGGACCGTCCGTTGTGGAACCCCTGTACTTCTCAATAAGGCCCAGAAACACAGTTCCCCAGCGTGAAGAACTGTGTGATTCCTGTCAGGCAATTTGTGATCCAGGAAACACAGGTAGGATCCACGCCCATCTCTGTGGGCTTGTCTTTTAGTATGATCGGTTGGATGGTGTTGAACGTTATGGTGACCTGTTGTTATGATGACCTGTCAGTTCATTGACCTATTGTTATAAGTGGTATCATAAAAAAATAAGACCATCTTAAGAAGAGAGACTGATTTTTATTAGAAAACATAACCTGAAACTGGATATCTCTTGCAGGGTTTTATAGTCTTGAATATGTAAAGGATTCGTAATATCATTGACTTTGAAACCATTTAAGTTTTTTTTGTAGGATCAGATTAACAAAAAACAACTGGCACTCTCATGATCACTTCTAATTGTACAGGAAAAAGTGAAATATTGCAAAAAGTATAAATGGTAGAAAGGTGAAAAGTTCACCCCACTAGATGGTGCTGTCATACCATAATCAAAAATTACTATGGTTACATTCTGACTGTAAACTTCTTTTGAGTACTTCCACATTCCACGGGGAGGTTGTAATACATACATTTTTAGGCATTTGTCTATCCGAAGCACCTCGACTGATCATTTTTCCTTGTAATGCACATAAGACATACAATTTTAGCAATTTTTTTTTTATTTTTACCTTCATCCAAGTATTTTAGCTTCAGCTCTGTAATATTTTCTACATTTTTATGTGGGGAAGTCACTGAAGCACACCACTAGATGGTGCTGTTTTTCCATTATTACAAATGAGTCTCATCACCCTGTGATGAAGAAAATGTCAAGATGGAGAACCAACCATCAATGGTCACATATTGCCCCCTACCCAATTGAAAAATAAAAGCCCTTTTTCTGTGTACGAACCAAACTTTTGAAATAAAGAACAATTATGACAAACCGAAAGTTGAACATACAGGGCTCCAGCATCAAAATGGAGAATCAACTTCAAATAGCTCCAGAGTGCCAGCTTCAAATTTAAAAAAAAAAAAAGTAAGCCCCACTCCTGTGTTTGACCAAAACCTTTGGAATTGATGTCACTTATGTTTGACCTCAAGACAAACAAAAATGGGTTCAATGTCAAAATTGAGGTCCTTCAAGAAATAACTACATAGCACCCCTTCATAATTTCAAAATGAAACCCCTGCTTCTTTGAGTGACTCAGACCAATGGACTAACAGACACTTATCTTGGATCCAACTGAAAATGGCACGACTGCGTTCTCTACAACATTTCTAAATGAAAGCCCTGCTCTGGTGCGCGTCCAAAACCTGTGGAATTAGTGACACTGAAGTTGAACCTTAACACGAACAAAAACAGTTTGAATATCAAAATGGAGATCCATCAAAACATGGCTCTATGGCGCCACCTTCAAATTTCTTCAGTGTGAACCACGCTCCTGTGTTTGACCTAAACCTATGTAATTGATGACACTTATGTTTGACCTCAAGATGAACAAAAAGGGTTTAACTGTCATAATGGATGTCCATCATAAAAAGGCCCCATAGCGCCCCCTTCAAAATTTCAAAACGTAAACCCGCTCCTGCGGTCCAGACAAGTGGATTCAATGACACTTATCTTGAACCCCAAGAGGAAAAGAAATGGGTGCCAATGTAAAAATTGGGGACCCATCAAAAAATTCCTTCATTTCTCCCTCTACAAAATTTCAAAATGTAAGTTCAGCTCCTGTGTTTGACCTAAACCGAGGGATTCAATGACACCTACGTTGGACTCAAAGTTAAACAAAAAGTTTTCCACTGTCAAAATGGATTTCCAACAAAAATGTGGTCATAGCGCCCTCTACAAAAATTTCAGGACTCAGTGCTGTATTTGAAGTCTGGTGTATACCCTGTCAATAGGAATGGAGCCAGGACCGTCCGTTGTGGAACCCCTGTACTTCTCAATAAGGCCCAGAAACACAGTTCCCCAGCGTGAAGAACTGTGTGATTCCTGTCAGGCAATTTGTGATCCAGGAAACACAGGTAGGATCCACGCCCATCTCTGTGGGCTTGTCTTTTAGTATGATCGGTTGGATGGTGTTGAACGTTATGGTGACCTGTTGTTATGATGACCTGTCAGTTCATTGACCTATTGTTATAAGTGGTATCATAAAAAAATAAGACCATCTTAAGAAGAGAGACTGATTTTTATTAGAAAACATAACCTGAAACTGGATATCTCTTGCAGGGTTTTATAGTCTTGAATATGTAAAGGATTCGTAATATCATTGACTTTGAAACCATTTAAGTTTTTTTTGTAGGATCAGATTAACAAAAAACAACTGGCACTCTCATGATCACTTCTAATTGTACAGGAAAAAGTGAAATATTGCAAAAAGTATAAATGGTAGAAAGGTGAAAAGTTCACCCCACTAGATGGTGCTGTCATACCATAATCAAAAATTACTATGGTTACATTCTGACTGTAAACTTCTTTTGAGTACTTCCACATTCCACGGGGAGGTTGTAATACATACATTTTTAGGCATTTGTCTATCCGAAGCACCTCGACTGATCATTTTTCCTTGTAATGCACATAAGACATACAATTTTAGCAATTTTTTTTTATTTTTACCTTCATCCAAGTATTTTAGCTTCAGCTCTGTAATATTTTCTACATTTTTATGTGGGGAAGTCACTGAAGCACACCACTAGATGGTGCTGTTTTTCCATTATTACAAATGAGTCTCATCACCCTGTGATGAAGAAAATGTCAAGATGGAGAACCAACCATCAATGGTCACATATTGCCCCCTACCCAATTGAAAAATAAAAGCCCTTTTTCTGTGTACGAACCAAACTTTTGAAATAAAGAACAATTATGACAAACCGAAAGTTGAACATACAGGGCTCCAGCATCAAAATGGAGAATCAACTTCAAATAGCTCCAGAGTGCCAGCTTCAAATTAAAAAAAAAAAAAAGTAAGCCCCACTCCTGTGTTTGACCAAAACCTTTGGAATTGATGTCACTTATGTTTGACCTCAAGACAAACAAAAATGGGTTCAATGTCAAAATTGAGGTCCTTCAAGAAATAACTACATAGCACCCCCTTCATAATTTCAAAATGAAACCCCTGCTTCTTTGAGTGACTCAGACCAATGGACTAACAGACACTTATCTTGGATCCAACTGAAAATGGCACGACTGCGTTCTCTACAACATTTCTAAATGAAAGCCCTGCTCTGGTGCGCGTCCAAAACCTGTGGAATTAGTGACACTGAAGTTGAACCTTAACACGAACAAAAACAGTTTGAATATCAAAATGGAGATCCATCAAAACATGGCTCTATGGCGCCACCTTCAAATTTCTTCAGTGTGAACCACGCTCCTGTGTTTGACCGAAACCTATGAAATTGATGACACTTATGTTTGACCTCAAGATGAACAAAAAGGGTTTAACTGTCATAATGGATGTCCATCATAAAAAGGCCCCATAGCGCCCCCTTCAAAATTTCAAAACGTAAACCCGCTCCTGCGGTCCAGACAAGTGGATTCAATGACACTTATCTTGAACCCCAAGAGGAAAAGAAATGGGTTGCCAATGTAAAAATTGGGGACCCATCAAAAAATTCCTTCATTTCTCCCTCTACAAAATTTCAAAATGTAAGTTCAGCTCCTGTGTTTGACCTAAACCGAGGGATTCAATGACACCTACGTTGGACTCAAAGTTAAACAAAAAGTTTTCCACTGTCAAAATGGATTTCCAACAAAAATGTGGTCATAGCGCCCTCTACAAAAATTTCAGGACTCAGTGCTGTATTTGAAGTCTGGTGTATACCCTGTCAATAGGAATGGAGCCAGGACCGTCCGTTGTGGAACCCCTGTACTTCTCAATAAGGCCCAGAAACACAGTTCCCCAGCGTGAAGAACTGTGTGATTCCTGTCAGGCAATTTGTGATCCAGGAAACACAGGTAGGATCCACGCCCATCTCTGTGGGCTTGTCTTTTAGTATGATCGGTTGGATGGTGTTGAACGTTATGGTGACCTGTTGTTATGATGACCTGTCAGTTCATTGACCTATTGTTATAAGTGGTATCATAAAAAAATAAGACCATCTTAAGAAGAGAGACTGATTTTTATTAGAAAACATAACCTGAAACTGGATATCTCTTGCAGGGTTTTATAGTCTTGAATATGTAAAGGATTCGTAATATCATTGACTTTGAAACCATTTAAGTTTTTTTTGTAGGATCAGATTAACAAAAAACAACTGGCACTCTCATGATCACTTCTAATTGTACAGGAAAAAGTGAAATATTGCAAAAAGTATAAATGGTAGAAAGGTGAAAAGTTCACCCCACTAGATGGTGCTGTCATACCATAATCAAAAATTACTATGGTTACATTCTGACTGTAAACTTCTTTTGAGTACTTCCACATTCCACGGGGAGGTTGTAATACATACATTTTTAGGCATTTGTCTATCCGAAGCACCTCGACTGATCATTTTTCCTTGTAATGCACATAAGACATACAATTTTAGCATTTTTTTTTTATTTTTACCTTCATCCAAGTATTTTAGCTTCAGCTCTGTAATATTTTCTACATTTTTATGTGGGGAAGTCACTGAAGCACACCACTAGATGGTGCTGTTTTTCCATTATTACAAATGAGTCTCATCACCCTGTGATGAAGAAAATGTCAAGATGGAGAACCAACCATCAATGGTCACATATTGCCCCCTACCCAATTGAAAAATAAAAGCCCTTTTTCTGTGTACGAACCAAACTTTTGAAATAAAGAACAATTATGACAAACCGAAAGTTGAACATACAGGGCTCCAGCATCAAAATGGAGAATCAACTTCAAATAGCTCCAGAGTGCCAGCTTCAAATTAAAAAAAAAAAAAAGTAAGCCCCACTCCTGTGTTTGACCAAAACCTTTGGAATTGATGTCACTTATGTTTGACCTCAAGACAAACAAAAATGGGTTCAATGTCAAAATTGAGGTCCTTCAAGAAATAACTACATAGCACCCCTTCATAATTTCAAAATGAAACCCCTGCTTCTTTGAGTGACTCAGACCAATGGACTAACAGACACTTATCTTGGATCCAACTGAAAAATGGCACGACTGCGTTCTCTACAACATTTCTAAATGAAAGCCCTGCTCTGGTGCGCGTCCAAAACCTGTGGAATTAGTGACACTGAAGTTGAACCTTAACACGAACAAAAACAGTTTGAATATCAAAATGGAGATCCATCAAAACATGGCTCTATGGCGCCACCTTCAAATTTCTTCAGTGTGAACCACGCTCCTGTGTTTGACCGAAACCTATGAAATTGATGACACTTATGTTTGACCTCAAGATGAACAAAAAGGGTTTAACTGTCATAATGGATGTCCATCATAAAAAGGCCCCATAGCGCCCCCTTCAAAATTTCAAAACGTAAACCCGCTCCTGCGGTCCAGACAAGTGGATTCAATGACACTTATCTTGAACCCCAAGAGGAAAAGAAATGGTTGCCAATGTAAAAATTGGGGACCCATCAAAAAATTCCTTCATTTCTCCCTCTACAAAATTTCAAAATGTAAGTTCAGCTCCTGTGTTTGACCTAAACCGAGGGATTCAATGACACCTACGTTGGACTCAAAGTTAAACAAAAAGTTTTCCACTGTCAAAATGGATTTCCAACAAAAATGTGGTCATAGCGCCCTCTACAAAAATTTCAGGACTCAGTGCTGTATTTGAAGTCTGGTGTATACCCTGTCAATAGGAATGGAGCCAGGACCGTCCGTTGTGGAACCCCTGTACTTCTCAATAAGGCCCAGAAACACAGTTCCCCAGCGTGAAGAACTGTGTGATTCCTGTCAGGCAATTTGTGATCCAGGAAACACAGGTAGGATCCACGCCCATCTCTGTGGGCTTGTCTTTTAGTATGATCGGTTGGATGGTGTTGAACGTTATGGTGACCTGTTGTTATGATGACCTGTCAGTTCATTGACCTATTGTTATAAGTGGTATCATAAAAAAATAAGACCATCTTAAGAAGAGAGACTGATTTTTATTAGAAAACATAACCTGAAACTGGATATCTCTTGCAGGGTTTTATAGTCTTGAATATGTAAAGGATTCGTAATATCATTGACTTTGAAACCATTTAAGTTTTTTTTGTAGGATCAGATTAACAAAAAACAACTGGCACTCTCATGATCACTTCTAATTGTACAGGAAAAAGTGAAATATTGCAAAAAGTATAAATGGTAGAAAGGTGAAAAGTTCACCCCACTAGATGGTGCTGTCATACCATAATCAAAAATTACTATGGTTACATTCTGACTGTAAACTTCTTTTGAGTACTTCCACATTCCACGGGGAGGTTGTAATACATACATTTTTAGGCATTTGTCTATCCGAAGCACCTCGACTGATCATTTTTCCTTGTAATGCACATAAGACATACAATTTTAGCATTTTTTTTTTATTTTTACCTTCATCCAAGTATTTTAGCTTCAGCTCTGTAATATTTTCTACATTTTTATGTGGGGAAGTCACTGAAGCACACCACTAGATGGTGCTGTTTTTCCATTATTACAAATGAGTCTCATCACCCTGTGATGAAGAAAATGTCAAGATGGAGAACCAACCATCAATGGTCACATATTGCCCCCTACCCAATTGAAAAATAAAAGCCCTTTTTCTGTGTACGAACCAAACTTTTGAAATAAAGAACAATTATGACAAACCGAAAGTTGAACATACAGGGCTCCAGCATCAAAATGGAGAATCAACTTCAAATAGCTCCAGAGTGCCAGCTTCAAATTAAAAAAAAAAAAAAGTAAGCCCCACTCCTGTGTTTGACCAAAACCTTTGGAATTGATGTCACTTATGTTTGACCTCAAGACAAACAAAAATGGGTTCAATGTCAAAATTGAGGTCCTTCAAGAAATAACTACATAGCACCCCTTCATAATTTCAAAATGAAACCCCTGCTTCTTTGAGTGACTCAGACCAATGGACTAACAGACACTTATCTTGGATCCAACTGAAAATGGCACGACTGCGTTCTCTACAACATTTCTAAATGAAAGCCCTGCTCTGGTGCGCGTCCAAAACCTGTGGAATTAGTGACACTGAAGTTGAACCTTAACACGAACAAAAACAGTTTGAATATCAAAATGGAGATCCATCAAAACATGGCTCTATGGCGCCACCTTCAAATTTCTTCAGTGTGAACCACGCTCCTGTGTTTGACCGAAACCTATGAAATTGATGACACTTATGTTTGACCTCAAGATGAACAAAAAGGGTTTAACTGTCATAATGGATGTCCATCATAAAAAGGCCCCATAGCGCCCCCTTCAAAATTTCAAAACGTAAACCCGCTCCTGCGGTCCAGACAAGTGGATTCAATGACACTTATCTTGAACCCCAAGAGGAAAAGAAATGGGTGCCAATGTAAAAATTGGGGACCCATCAAAAAATTCCTTCATTTCTCCCTCTACAAAATTTCAAAATGTAAGTTCAGCTCCTGTGTTTGACCTAAACCGAGGGATTCAATGACACCTACGTTGGACTCAAAGTTAAACAAAAAGTTTTCCACTGTCAAAATGGATTTCCAACAAAAATGTGGTCATAGCGCCCTCTACAAAAATTTCAGGACTCAGTGCTGTATTTGAAGTCTGGTGTATACCCTGTCAATAGGAATGGAGCCAGGACCGTCCGTTGTGGAACCCCTGTACTTCTCAATAAGGCCCAGAAACACAGTTCCCCAGCGTGAAGAACTGTGTGATTCCTGTCAGGCAATTTGTGATCCAGGAAACACAGGTAGGATCCACGCCCATCTCTGTGGGCTTGTCTTTTAGTATGATCGGTTGGATGGTGTTGAACGTTATGGTGACCTGTTGTTATGATGACCTGTCAGTTCATTGACCTATTGTTATAAGTGGTATCATAAAAAAATAAGACCATCTTAAGAAGAGAGACTGATTTTTATTAGAAAACATAACCTGAAACTGGATATCTCTTGCAGGGTTTTATAGTCTTGAATATGTAAAGGATTCGTAATATCATTGACTTTGAAACCATTTAAGTTTTTTTTGTAGGATCAGATTAACAAAAAACAACTGGCACTCTCATGATCACTTCTAATTGTACAGGAAAAAGTGAAATATTGCAAAAAGTATAAATGGTAGAAAGGTGAAAAGTTCACCCCACTAGATGGTGCTGTCATACCATAATCAAAAATTACTATGGTTACATTCTGACTGTAAACTTCTTTTGAGTACTTCCACATTCCACGGGGAGGTTGTAATACATACATTTTTAGGCATTTGTCTATCCGAAGCACCTCGACTGATCATTTTTCCTTGTAATGCACATAAGACATACAATTTTAGCATTTTTTTTTTATTTTTACCTTCATCCAAGTATTTTAGCTTCAGCTCTGTAATATTTTCTACATTTTTATGTGGGGAAGTCACTGAAGCACACCACTAGATGGTGCTGTTTTTCCATTATTACAAATGAGTCTCATCACCCTGTGATGAAGAAAATGTCAAGATGGAGAACCAACCATCAATGGTCACATATTGCCCCCTACCCAATTGAAAAATAAAAGCCCTTTTTCTGTGTACGAACCAAACTTTTGAAATAAAGAACAATTATGACAAACCGAAAGTTGAACATACAGGGCTCCAGCATCAAAATGGAGAATCAACTTCAAATAGCTCCAGAGTGCCAGCTTCAAATTAAAAAAAAAAAAAAGTAAGCCCCACTCCTGTGTTTGACCAAAACCTTTGGAATTGATGTCACTTATGTTTGACCTCAAGACAAACAAAAATGGGTTCAATGTCAAAATTGAGGTCCTTCAAGAAATAACTACATAGCACCCCCTTCATAATTTCAAAATGAAACCCCTGCTTCTTTGAGTGACTCAGACCAATGGACTAACAGACACTTATCTTGGATCCAACTGAAAATGGCACGACTGCGTTCTCTACAACATTTCTAAATGAAAGCCCTGCTCTGGTGCGCGTCCAAAACCTGTGGAATTAGTGACACTGAAGTTGAACCTTAACACGAACAAAAACAGTTTGAATATCAAAATGGAGATCCATCAAAACATGGCTCTATGGCGCCACCTTCAAATTTCTTCAGTGTGAACCACGCTCCTGTGTTTGACCGAAACCTATGAAATTGATGACACTTATGTTTGACCTCAAGATGAACAAAAAGGGTTTAACTGTCATAATGGATGTCCATCATAAAAAGGCCCCATAGCGCCCCCTTCAAAATTTCAAAACGTAAACCCGCTCCTGCGGTCCAGACAAGTGGATTCAATGACACTTATCTTGAACCCCAAGAGGAAAAGAAATGGGTGCCAATGTAAAAATTGGGGACCCATCAAAAAATTCCTTCATTTCTCCCTCTACAAAATTTCAAAATGTAAGTTCAGCTCCTGTGTTTGACCTAAACCGAGGGATTCAATGACACCTACGTTGGACTCAAAGTTAAACAAAAAGTTTTCCACTGTCAAAATGGATTTCCAACAAAAATGTGGTCATAGCGCCCTCTACAAAAATTTCAGGACTCAGTGCTGTATTTGAAGTCTGGTGTATACCCTGTCAATAGGAATGGAGCCAGGACCGTCCGTTGTGGAACCCCTGTACTTCTCAATAAGGCCCAGAAACACAGTTCCCCAGCGTGAAGAACTGTGTGATTCCTGTCAGGCAATTTGTGATCCAGGAAACACAGGTAGGATCCACGCCCATCTCTGTGGGCTTGTCTTTTAGTATGATCGGTTGGATGGTGTTGAACGTTATGGTGACCTGTTGTTATGATGACCTGTCAGTTCATTGACCTATTGTTATAAGTGGTATCATAAAAAAATAAGACCATCTTAAGAAGAGAGACTGATTTTTATTAGAAAACATAACCTGAAACTGGATATCTCTTGCAGGGTTTTATAGTCTTGAATATGTAAAGGATTCGTAATATCATTGACTTTGAAACCATTTAATTTTTTTTTGTAGGATCAGATTAACAAAAAACAACTGGCACTCTCATGATCACTTCTAATTGTACAGGAAAAAGTGAAATATTGCAAAAAGTATAAATGGTAGAAAGGTGAAAAGTTCACCCCACTAGATGGTGCTGTCATACCATAATCAAAAATTACTATGGTTACATTCTGACTGTAAACTTCTTTTGAGTACTTCCACATTCCACGGGGAGGTTGTAATACATACATTTTTAGGCATTTGTCTATCCGAAGCACCTCGACTGATCATTTTTCCTTGTAATGCACATAAGACATACAATTTTAGCAATCTTTTTTTATTTTTACCTTCATCCAAGTATTTTAGCTTCAGCTCTGTAATATTTTCTACATTTTTATGTGGGGAAGTCACTGAAGCACACCACTAGATGGTGCTGTTTTTCCATTATTACAAATGAGTCTCATCACCCTGTGATGAAGAAAATGTCAAGATGGAGAACCAACCATCAATGGTCACATATTGCCCCCTACCCAATTGAAAAATAAAAGCCCTTTTTCTGTGTACGAACCAAACTTTTGAAATAAAGAACAATTATGACAAACCGAAAGTTGAACATACAGGGCTCCAGCATCAAAATGGAGAATCAACTTCAAATAGCTCCAGAGTGCCAGCTTCAAATTAAAAAAAAAAAAAAGTAAGCCCCACTCCTGTGTTTGACCAAAACCTTTGGAATTGATGTCACTTATGTTTGACCTCAAGACAAACAAAAATGGGTTCAATGTCAAAATTGAGGTCCTTCAAGAAATAACTACATAGCACCCCCTTCATAATTTCAAAATGAAACCCCTGCTTCTTTGAGTGACTCAGACCAATGGACTAACAGACACTTATCTTGGATCCAACTGAAAATGGCACGACTGCGTTCTCTACAACATTTCTAAATGAAAGCCCTGCTCTGGTGCGCGTCCAAAACCTGTGGAATTAGTGACACTGAAGTTGAACCTTAACATGAACAAAAACAGTTTGAATATCAAAATGGAGATCCATCAAAACATGGCTCTATGGTGCCACCTTCAAATTTCTTCAGTGTGAACCACGCTCCTGTGTTTGACCGAAACCTATGAAATTGATGACACTTATGTTTGACCTCAAGATGAACAAAAAGGGTTTAACTGTCATAATGGATGTCCATCATAAAAAGGCCCCATAGCGCCCCCTTCAAAATTTCAAAACGTAAACCCGCTCCTGCGGTCCAGACAAGTGGATTCAATGACACTTGTCTTGAACGCCAAGAGGAAAAGAAATGGTTGCCAATGTAAAAATTGGGGACCCATCAAAAAATTCCTTCATTTCTCCCTCTACAAAATTTCAAAATGTAAGTTCAGCTCCTGTGTTTGACCTAAACCGAGGGATTCAATGACACCTACGTTGGACTCAAAGTTAAACAAAAAGTTTTCCACTGTCAAAATGGATTTCCAACAAAAATGTGGTCATAGCGCCCTCTACAAAAATTTCAGGACTCAGTGCTGTATTTGAAGTCTGGTGTATACCCTGTCAATAGGAATGGAGCCAGGACCGTCCGTTGTGGAACCCCTGTACTTCTCAATAAGGCCCAGAAACACAGTTCCCCAGCGTGAAGAACTGTGTGATTCCTGTCAGGCAATTTGTGATCCAGGAAACACAGGTAGGATCCACGCCCATCTCTGTGGGCTTGTCTTTTAGTATGATCGGTTGGATGGTGTTGAACGTTATGGTGACCTGTTGTTATGATGACCTGTCAGTTCATTGACCTATTGTTATAAGTGGTATCATAAAAAAATAAGACCATCTTAAGAAGAGAGACTGATTTTTATTAGAAAACATAACCTGAAACTGGATATCTCTTGCAGGGTTTTATAGTCTTGAATATGTAAAGGATTCGTAATATCATTGACTTTGAAACCATTTAATTTTTTTTGTAGGATCAGATTAACAAAAAACAACTGGCACTCTCATGATCACTTCTAATTGTACAGGAAAAAGTGAAATATTGCAAAAAGTATAAATGGTAGAAAGGTGAAAAGTTCACCCCACTAGATGGTGCTGTCATACCATAATCAAAAATTACTATGGTTACATTCTGACTGTAAACTTCTTTTGAGTACTTCCACATTCCACGGGGAGGTTGTAATACATACATTTTTAGGCATTTGTCTATCCGAAGCACCTCGACTGATCATTTTTCCTTGTAATGCACATAAGACATACAATTTTAGCAATCTTTTTTTATTTTTACCTTCATCCAAGTATTTTAGCTTCAGCTCTGTAATATTTTCTACATTTTTATGTGGGGAAGTCACTGAAGCACACCACTAGATGGTGCTGTTTTTCCATTATTACAAATGAGTCTCATCACCCTGTGATGAAGAAAATGTCAAGATGGAGAACCAACCATCAATGGTCACATATTGCCCCCTACCCAATTGAAAAATAAAAGCCCTTTTTCTGTGTACGAACCAAACTTTTGAAATAAAGAACAATTATGACAAACCGAAAGTTGAACATACAGGGCTCCAGCATCAAAATGGAGAATCAACTTCAAATAGCTCCAGAGTGCCAGCTTCAAATTAAAAAAAAAAAAAGTAAGCCCCACTCCTGTGTTTGACCAAAACCTTTGGAATTGATGTCACTTATGTTTGACCTCAAGACAAACAAAAATGGGTTCAATGTCAAAATTGAGGTCCTTCAAGAAATAACTACATAGCACCCCTTCATAATTTCAAAATGAAACCCCTGCTTCTTTGAGTGACTCAGACCAATGGACTAACAGACACTTATCTTGGATCCAACTGAAAATGGCACGACTGCGTTCTCTACAACATTTCTAAATGAAAGCCCTGCTCTGGTGCGCGTCCAAAACCTGTGGAATTAGTGACACTGAAGTTGAACCTTAACACGAACAAAAACAGTTTGAATATCAAAATGGAGATCCATCAAAACATGGCTCTATGGTGCCACCTTCAAATTTCTTCAGTGTGAACCACGCTCCTGTGTTTGACCGAAACCTATGAAATTGATGACACTTATGTTTGACCTCAAGATGAACAAAAAGGGTTTAACTGTCATAATGGATGTCCATCATAAAAAGGCCCCATAGCGCCCCCTTCAAAATTTCAAAACGTAAACCCGCTCCTGCGGTCCAGACAAGTGGATTCAATGACACTTATCTTGAACCCCAAGAGGAAAAGAAATGGGTGCCAATGTAAAAATTGGGGACCCATCAAAAAATTCCTTCATTTCTCCCTCTACAAAATTTCAAAATGTAAGTTCAGCTCCTGTGTTTGACCTAAACCGAGGGATTCAATGACACCTACGTTGGACTCAAAGTTAAACAAAAAGTTTTCCACTGTCAAAATGGATTTCCAACAAAAATGTGGTCATAGCGCCCTCTACAAAAATTTCAGGACTCAGTGCTGTATTTGAAGTCTGGTGTATACCCTGTCAATAGGAATGGAGCCAGGACCGTCCGTTGTGGAACCCCTGTACTTCTCAATAAGGCCCAGAAACACAGTTCCCCAGCGTGAAGAACTGTGTGATTCCTGTCAGGCAATTTGTGATCCAGGAAACACAGGTAGGATCCACGCCCATCTCTGTGGGCTTGTCTTTTAGTATGATCGGTTGGATGGTGTTGAACGTTATGGTGACCTGTTGTTATGATGACCTGTCAGTTCATTGACCTATTGTTATAAGTGGTATCATAAAAAAATAAGACCATCTTAAGAAGAGAGACTGATTTTTATTAGAAAACATAACCTGAAACTGGATATCTCTTGCAGGGTTTTATAGTCTTGAATATGTAAAGGATTCGTAATATCATTGACTTTGAAACCATTTAATTTTTTTTGTAGGATCAGATTAACAAAAAACAACTGGCACTCTCATGATCACTTCTAATTGTACAGGAAAAAGTGAAATATTGCAAAAAGTATAAATGGTAGAAAGGTGAAAAGTTCACCCCACTAGATGGTGCTGTCATACCATAATCAAAAATTACTATGGTTACATTCTGACTGTAAACTTCTTTTGAGTACTTCCACATTCCACGGGGAGGTTGTAATACATACATTTTTAGGCATTTGTCTATCCGAAGCACCTCGACTGATCATTTTTCCTTGTAATGCACATAAGACATACAATTTTAGCAATCTTTTTTTATTTTTACCTTCATCCAAGTATTTTAGCTTCAGCTCTGTAATATTTTCTACATTTTTATGTGGGGAAGTCACTGAAGCACACCACTAGATGGTGCTGTTTTTCCATTATTACAAATGAGTCTCATCACCCTGTGATGAAGAAAATGTCAAGATGGAGAACCAACCATCAATGGTCACATATTGCCCCCTACCCAATTGAAAAATAAAAGCCCTTTTTCTGTGTACGAACCAAACTTTTGAAATAAAGAACAATTATGACAAACCGAAAGTTGAACATACAGGGCTCCAGCATCAAAATGGAGAATCAACTTCAAATAGCTCCAGAGTGCCAGCTTCAAATTAAAAAAAAAAAAAAGTAAGCCCCACTCCTGTGTTTGACCAAAACCTTTGGAATTGATGTCACTTATGTTTGACCTCAAGACAAACAAAAATGGGTTCAATGTCAAAATTGAGGTCCTTCAAGAAATAACTACATAGCACCCCTTCATAATTTCAAAATGAAACCCCTGCTTCTTTGAGTGACTCAGACCAATGGACTAACAGACACTTATCTTGGATCCAACTGAAAATGGCACGACTGCGTTCTCTACAACATTTCTAAATGAAAGCCCTGCTCTGGTGCGCGTCCAAAACCTGTGGAATTAGTGACACTGAAGTTGAACCTTAACACGAACAAAAACAGTTTGAATATCAAAATGGAGATCCATCAAAACATGGCTCTATGGCGCCACCTTCAAATTTCTTCAGTGTGAACCACGCTCCTGTGTTTGACCGAAACCTATGAAATTGATGACACTTATGTTTGACCTCAAGATGAACAAAAAGGGTTTAACTGTCATAATGGATGTCCATCATAAAAAGGCCCCATAGCGCCCCCTTCAAAATTTCAAAACGTAAACCCGCTCCTGCGGTCCAGACAAGTGGATTCAATGACACTTATCTTGAACCCCAAGAGGAAAAGAAATGGGTGCCAATGTAAAAATTGGGGACCCATCAAAAAATTCCTTCATTTCTCCCTCTACAAAATTTCAAAATGTAAGTTCAGCTCCTGTGTTTGACCTAAACCGAGGGATTCAATGACACCTACGTTGGACTCAAAGTTAAACAAAAAGTTTTCCACTGTCAAAATGGATTTCCAACAAAAATGTGGTCATAGCGCCCTCTACAAAAATTTCAGGACTCAGTGCTGTATTTGAAGTCTGGTGTATACCCTGTCAATAGGAATGGAGCCAGGACCGTCCGTTGTGGAACCCCTGTACTTCTCAATAAGGCCCAGAAACACAGTTCCCCAGCGTGAAGAACTGTGTGATTCCTGTCAGGCAATTTGTGATCCAGGAAACACAGGTAGGATCCACGCCCATCTCTGTGGGCTTGTCTTTTAGTATGATCGGTTGGATGGTGTTGAACGTTATGGTGACCTGTTGTTATGATGACCTGTCAGTTCATTGACCTATTGTTATAAGTGGTATCATAAAAAAATAAGACCATCTTAAGAAGAGAGACTGATTTTTATTAGAAAACATAACCTGAAACTGGATATCTCTTGCAGGGTTTTATAGTCTTGAATATGTAAAGGATTCGTAATATCATTGACTTTGAAACCATTTAATTTTTTTTTGTAGGATCAGATTAACAAAAAACAACTGGCACTCTCATGATCACTTCTAATTGTACAGGAAAAAGTGAAATATTGCAAAAAGTATAAATGGTAGAAAGGTGAAAAGTTCACCCCACTAGATGGTGCTGTCATACCATAATCAAAAATTACTATGGTTACATTCTGACTGTAAACTTCTTTTGAGTACTTCCACATTCCACGGGGAGGTTGTAATACATACATTTTTAGGCATTTGTCTATCCGAAGCACCTCGACTGATCATTTTTCCTTGTAATGCACATAAGACATACAATTTTAGCAATCTTTTTTTATTTTTACCTTCATCCAAGTATTTTAGCTTCAGCTCTGTAATATTTTCTACATTTTTATGTGGGGAAGTCACTGAAGCACACCACTAGATGGTGCTGTTTTTCCATTATTACAAATGAGTCTCATCACCCTGTGATGAAGAAAATGTCAAGATGGAGAACCAACCATCAATGGTCACATATTGCCCCCTACCCAATTGAAAAATAAAAGCCCTTTTTCTGTGTACGAACCAAACTTTTGAAATAAAGAACAATTATGACAAACCGAAAGTTGAACATACAGGGCTCCAGCATCAAAATGGAGAATCAACTTCAAATAGCTCCAGAGTGCCAGCTTCAAATTAAAAAAAAAAAAAAGTAAGCCCCACTCCTGTGTTTGACCAAAACCTTTGGAATTGATGTCACTTATGTTTGACCTCAAGACAAACAAAAATGGGTTCAATGTCAAAATTGAGGTCCTTCAAGAAATAACTACATAGCACCCCCTTCATAATTTCAAAATGAAACCCCTGCTTCTTTGAGTGACTCAGACCAATGGACTAACAGACACTTATCTTGGATCCAACTGAAAATGGCACGACTGCGTTCTCTACAACATTTCTAAATGAAAGCCCTGCTCTGGTGCGCGTCCAAAACCTGTGGAATTAGTGACACTGAAGTTGAACCTTAACACGAACAAAAACAGTTTGAATATCAAAATGGAGATCCATCAAAACATGGCTCTATGGCGCCACCTTCAAATTTCTTCAGTGTGAACCACGCTCCTGTGTTTGACCGAAACCTATGAAATTGATGACACTTATGTTTGACCTCAAGATGAACAAAAAGGGTTTAACTGTCATAATGGATGTCCATCATAAAAAGGCCCCATAGCGCCCCCTTCAAAATTTCAAAACGTAAACCCGCTCCTGCGGTCCAGACAAGTGGATTCAATGACACTTATCTTGAACCCCAAGAGGAAAAGAAATGGGTGCCAATGTAAAAATTGGGGACCCATCAAAAAATTCCTTCATTTCTCCCTCTACAAAATTTCAAAATGTAAGTTCAGCTCCTGTGTTTGACCTAAACCGAGGGATTCAATGACACCTACGTTGGACTCAAAGTTAAACAAAAAGTTTTCCACTGTCAAAATGGATTTCCAACAAAAATGTGGTCATAGCGCCCTCTACAAAAATTTCAGGACTCAGTGCTGTATTTGAAGTCTGGTGTATACCCTGTCAATAGGAATGGAGCCAGGACCGTCCGTTGTGGAACCCCTGTACTTCTCAATAAGGCCCAGAAACACAGTTCCCCAGCGTGAAGAACTGTGTGATTCCTGTCAGGCAATTTGTGATCCAGGAAACACAGGTAGGATCCACGCCCATCTCTGTGGGCTTGTCTTTTAGTATGATCGGTTGGATGGTGTTGAACGTTATGGTGACCTGTTGTTATGATGACCTGTCAGTTCATTGACCTATTGTTATAAGTGGTATCATAAAAAAATAAGACCATCTTAAGAAGAGAGACTGATTTTTATTAGAAAACATAACCTGAAACTGGATATCTCTTGCAGGGTTTTATAGTCTTGAATATGTAAAGGATTCGTAATATCATTGACTTTGAAACCATTTAATTTTTTTTTGTAGGATCAGATTAACAAAAAACAACTGGCACTCTCATGATCACTTCTAATTGTACAGGAAAAAGTGAAATATTGCAAAAAGTATAAATGGTAGAAAGGTGAAAAGTTCACCCCACTAGATGGTGCTGTCATACCATAATCAAAAATTACTATGGTTACATTCTGACTGTAAACTTCTTTTGAGTACTTCCACATTCCACGGGGAGGTTGTAATACATACATTTTTAGGCATTTGTCTATCCGAAGCACCTCGACTGATCATTTTTCCTTGTAATGCACATAAGACATACAATTTTAGCAATTTTTTTTTTTTTTTTTACCTTCATCCAAGTATTTTAGCTTCAGCTCTGTATTATTTTCTACATTTTTATGTGGGGAAGTCACTGAAGCACACCACTAGATGGTGCTGTTTTTCCATTATTACAAATGAGTCTCATCACCCTGTGATGAAGAAAATGTCAAGATGGAGAACCAACCATCAATGGTCACATATTGCCCCCTACCCAATTGAAAAATAAAAGCCCTTTTTCTGTGTACGAACCAAACTTTTGAAATAAAGAACAATTATGACAAACCGAAAGTTGAACATACAGGGCTCCAGCATCAAAATGGAGAATCAACTTCAAATAGCTCCAGAGTGCCAGCTTCAAATTAAAAAAAAAAAAAAGTAAGCCCCACTCCTGTGTTTGACCAAAACCTTTGGAATTGATGTCACTTATGTTTGACCTCAAGACAAACAAAAATGGGTTCAATGTCAAAATTGAGGTCCTTCAAGAAATAACTACATAGCACCCCTTCATAATTTCAAAATGAAACCCCTGCTTCTTTGAGTGACTCAGACCAATGGACTAACAGACACTTATCTTGGATCCAACTGAAAATGGCACGACTGCGTTCTCTACAACATTTCTAAATGAAAGCCCTGCTCTGGTGCGCGTCCAAAACCTGTGGAATTAGTGACACTGAAGTTGAACCTTAACACGAACAAAAACAGTTTGAATATCAAAATGGAGATCCATCAAAACATGGCTCTATGGCGCCACCTTCAAATTTCTTCAGTGTGAACCACGCTCCTGTGTTTGACCGAAACCTATGAAATTGATGACACTTATGTTTGACCTCAAGATGAACAAAAAGGGTTTAACTGTCATAATGGATGTCCATCATAAAAAGGCCCCATAGCGCCCCCTTCAAAATTTCAAAACGTAAACCCGCTCCTGCGGTCCAGACAAGTGGATTCAATGACACTTATCTTGAACCCCAAGAGGAAAAGAAATGGGTGCCAATGTAAAAATTGGGGACCCATCAAAAAATTCCTTCATTTCTCCCTCTACAAAATTTCAAAATGTAAGTTCAGCTCCTGTGTTTGACCTAAACCGAGGGATTCAATGACACCTACGTTGGACTCAAAGTTAAACAAAAAGTTTTCCACTGTCAAAATGGATTTCCAACAAAAATGTGGTCATAGCGCCCTCTACAAAAATTTCAGGACTCAGTGCTGTATTTGAAGTCTGGTGTATACCCTGTCAATAGGAATGGAGCCAGGACCGTCCGTTGTGGAACCCCTGTACTTCTCAATAAGGCCCAGAAACACAGTTCCCCAGCGTGAAGAACTGTGTGATTCCTGTCAGGCAATTTGTGATCCAGGAAACACAGGTAGGATCCACGCCCATCTCTGTGGGCTTGTCTTTTAGTATGATCGGTTGGATGGTGTTGAACGTTATGGTGACCTGTTGTTATGATGACCTGTCAGTTCATTGACCTATTGTTATAAGTGGTATCATAAAAAAATAAGACCATCTTAAGAAGAGAGACTGATTTTTATTAGAAAACATAACCTGAAACTGGATATCTCTTGCAGGGTTTTATAGTCTTGAATATGTAAAGGATTCGTAATATCATTGACTTTGAAACCATTTAATTTTTTTTTGTAGGATCAGATTAACAAAAAACAACTGGCACTCTCATGATCACTTCTAATTGTACAGGAAAAAGTGAAATATTGCAAAAAGTATAAATGGTAGAAAGGTGAAAAGTTCACCCCACTAGATGGTGCTGTCATACCATAATCAAAAATTACTATGGTTACATTCTGACTGTAAACTTCTTTTGAGTACTTCCACATTCCACGGGGAGGTTGTAATACATACATTTTTAGGCATTTGTCTATCCGAAGCACCTCGACTGATCATTTTTCCTTGTAATGCACATAAGACATACAATTTTAGCAATCTTTTTTTATTTTTACCTTCATCCAAGTATTTTAGCTTCAGCTCTGTAATATTTTCTACATTTTTATGTGGGGAAGTCACTGAAGCACACCACTAGATGGTGCTGTTTTTCCATTATTACAAATGAGTCTCATCACCCTGTGATGAAGAAAATGTCAAGATGGAGAACCAACCATCAATGGTCACATATTGCCCCCTACCCAATTGAAAAATAAAAGCCCTTTTTCTGTGTACGAACCAAACTTTTGAAATAAAGAACAATTATGACAAACCGAAAGTTGAACATACAGGGCTCCAGCATCAAAATGGAGAATCAACTTCAAATAGCTCCAGAGTGCCAGCTTCAAATTAAAAAAAAAAAAAAGTAAGCCCCACTCCTGTGTTTGACCAAAACCTTTGGAATTGATGTCACTTATGTTTGACCTCAAGACAAACAAAAATGGGTTCAATGTCAAAATTGAGGTCCTTCAAGAAATAACTACATAGCACCCCCTTCATAATTTCAAAATGAAACCCCTGCTTCTTTGAGTGACTCAGACCAATGGACTAACAGACACTTATCTTGGATCCAACTGAAAATGGCACGACTGCGTTCTCTACAACATTTCTAAATGAAAGCCCTGCTCTGGTGCGCGTCCAAAACCTGTGGAATTAGTGACACTGAAGTTGAACCTTAACACGAACAAAAACAGTTTGAATATCAAAATGGAGATCCATCAAAACACTGGCTCTATGGCGCCACCTTCAAATTTCTTCAGTGTGAACCACGCTCCTGTGTTTGACCGAAACCTATGAAATTGATGACACTTATGTTTGACCTCAAGATGAACAAAAAGGGTTTAACTGTCATAATGGATGTCCATCATAAAAAGGCCCCATAGCGCCCCCTTCAAAATTTCAAAACGTAAACCCGCTCCTGCGGTCCAGACAAGTGGATTCAATGACACTTATCTTGAACCCCAAGAGGAAAAGAAATGGGTGCCAATGTAAAAATTGGGGACCCATCAAAAAATTCCTTCATTTCTCCCTCTACAAAATTTCAAAATGTAAGTTCAGCTCCTGTGTTTGACCTAAACCGAGGGATTCAATGACACCTACGTTGGACTCAAAGTTAAACAAAAAGTTTTCCACTGTCAAAATGGATTTCCAACAAAAATGTGGTCATAGCGCCCTCTACAAAAATTTCAGGACTCAGTGCTGTATTTGAAGTCTGGTGTATACCCTGTCAATAGGAATGGAGCCAGGACCGTCCGTTGTGGAACCCCTGTACTTCTCAATAAGGCCCAGAAACACAGTTCCCCAGCGTGAAGAACTGTGTGATTCCTGTCAGGCAATTTGTGATCCAGGAAACACAGGTAGGATCCACGCCCATCTCTGTGGGCTTGTCTTTTAGTATGATCGGTTGGATGGTGTTGAACGTTATGGTGACCTGTTGTTATGATGACCTGTCAGTTCATTGACCTATTGTTATAAGTGGTATCATAAAAAAATAAGACCATCTTAAGAAGAGAGACTGATTTTTATTAGAAAACATAACCTGAAACTGGATATCTCTTGCAGGGTTTTATAGTCTTGAATATGTAAAGGATTCGTAATATCATTGACTTTGAAACCATTTAATTTTTTTTTGTAGGATCAGATTAACAAAAAACAACTGGCACTCTCATGATCACTTCTAATTGTACAGGAAAAAGTGAAATATTGCAAAAAGTATAAATGGTAGAAAGGTGAAAAGTTCACCCCACTAGATGGTGCTGTCATACCATAATCAAAAATTACTATGGTTACATTCTGACTGTAAACTTCTTTTGAGTACTTCCACATTCCACGGGGAGGTTGTAATACATACATTTTTAGGCATTTGTCTATCCGAAGCACCTCGACTGATCATTTTTCCTTGTAATGCACATAAGACATACAATTTTAGCAATTTTTTTTTATTTTTACCTTCATCCAAGTATTTTAGCTTCAGCTCTGTAATATTTTCTACATTTTTATGTGGGGAAGTCACTGAAGCACACCACTAGATGGTGCTGTTTTTCCATTATTACAAATGAGTCTCATCACCCTGTGATGAAGAAAATGTCAAGATGGAGAACCAACCATCAATGGTCACATATTGCCCCCTACCCAATTGAAAAATAAAAGCCCTTTTTCTGTGTACGAACCAAACTTTTGAAATAAAGAACAATTATGACAAACCGAAAGTTGAACATACAGGGCTCCAGCATCAAAATGGAGAATCAACTTCAAATAGCTCCAGAGTGCCAGCTTCAAATTAAAAAAAAAAAAAAGTAAGCCCCACTCCTGTGTTTGACCAAAACCTTTGGAATTGATGTCACTTATGTTTGACCTCAAGACAAACAAAAATGGGTTCAATGTCAAAATTGAGGTCCTTCAAGAAATAACTACATAGCACCCCCTTCATAATTTCAAAATGAAACCCCTGCTTCTTTGAGTGACTCAGACCAATGGACTAACAGACACTTATCTTGGATCCAACTGAAAATGGCACGACTGCGTTCTCTACAACATTTCTAAATGAAAGCCCTGCTCTGGTGCGCGTCCAAAACCTGTGGAATTAGTGACACTGAAGTTGAACCTTAACACGAACAAAAACAGTTTGAATATCAAAATGGAGATCCATCAAAACATGGCTCTATGGTGCCACCTTCAAATTTCTTCAGTGTGAACCACGCTCCTGTGTTTGACCGAAACCTATGAAATTGATGACACTTATGTTTGACCTCAAGATGAACAAAAAGGGTTTAACTGTCATAATGGATGTCCATCATAAAAAGGCCCCATAGCGCCCCCTTCAAAATTTCAAAACGTAAACCCGCTCCTGCGGTCCAGACAAGTGGATTCAATGACACTTATCTTGAACCCCAAGAGGAAAAGAAATGGTTGCCAATGTAAAAATTGGGGACCCATCAAAAAATTCCTTCATTTCTCCCTCTACAAAATTTCAAAATGTAAGTTCAGCTCCTGTGTTTGACCTAAACCGAGGGATTCAATGACACCTACGTTGGACTCAAAGTTAAACAAAAAGTTTTCCACTGTCAAAATGGATTTCCAACAAAAATGTGGTCATAGCGCCCTCTACAAAAATTTCAGGACTCAGTGCTGTATTTGAAGTCTGGTGTATACCCTGTCAATAGGAATGGAGCCAGGACCGTCCGTTGTGGAACCCCTGTACTTCTCAATAAGGCCCAGAAACACAGTTCCCCAGCGTGAAGAACTGTGTGATTCCTGTCAGGCAATTTGTGATCCAGGAAACACAGGTAGGATCCACGCCCATCTCTGTGGGCTTGTCTTTTAGTATGATCGGTTGGATGGTGTTGAACGTTATGGTGACCTGTTGTTATGATGACCTGTCAGTTCATTGACCTATTGTTATAAGTGGTATCATAAAAAAATAAGACCATCTTAAGAAGAGAGACTGATTTTTATTAGAAAACATAACCTGAAACTGGATATCTCTTGCAGGGTTTTATAGTCTTGAATATGTAAAGGATTCGTAATATCATTGACTTTGAAACCATTTAAGTTTTTTTTGTAGGATCAGATTAACAAAAAACAACTGGCACTCTCATGATCACTTCTAATTGTACAGGAAAAAGTGAAATATTGCAAAAAGTATAAATGGTAGAAAGGTGAAAAGTTCACCCCACTAGATGGTGCTGTCATACCATAATCAAAAATTACTATGGTTACATTCTGACTGTAAACTTCTTTTGAGTACTTCCACATTCCACGGGGAGGTTGTAATACATACATTTTTAGGCATTTGTCTATCCGAAGCACCTCGACTGATCATTTTTCCTTGTAATGCACATAAGACATACAATTTTAGCAATTTTTTTTTTATTTTTACCTTCATCCAAGTATTTTAGCTTCAGCTCTGTAATATTTTCTACATTTTTATGTGGGGAAGTCACTGAAGCACACCACTAGATGGTGCTGTTTTTCCATTATTACAAATGAGTCTCATCACCCTGTGATGAAGAAAATGTCAAGATGGAGAACCAACCATCAATGGTCACATATTGCCCCCTACCCAATTGAAAAATAAAAGCCCTTTTTCTGTGTACGAACCAAACTTTTGAAATAAAGAACAATTATGACAAACCGAAAGTTGAACATACAGGGCTCCAGCATCAAAATGGAGAATCAACTTCAAATAGCTCCAGAGTGCCAGCTTCAAATTAAAAAAAAAAAAAAGTAAGCCCCACTCCTGTGTTTGACCAAAACCTTTGGAATTGATGTCACTTATGTTTGACCTCAAGACAAACAAAAATGGGTTCAATGTCAAAATTGAGGTCCTTCAAGAAATAACTACATAGCACCCCCTTCATAATTTCAAAATGAAACCCCTGCTTCTTTGAGTGACTCAGACCAATGGACTAACAGACACTTATCTTGGATCCAACTGAAAATGGCACGACTGCGTTCTCTACAACATTTCTAAATGAAAGCCCTGCTCTGGTGCGCGTCCAAAACCTGTGGAATTAGTGACACTGAAGTTGAACCTTAACACGAACAAAAACAGTTTGAATATCAAAATGGAGATCCATCAAAACATGGCTCTATGGCGCCACCTTCAAATTTCTTCAGTGTGAACCACGCTCCTGTGTTTGACCGAAACCTATGAAATTGATGACACTTATGTTTGACCTCAAGATGAACAAAAAGGGTTTAACTGTCATAATGGATGTCCATCATAAAAAGGCCCCATAGCGCCCCCTTCAAAATTTCAAAACGTAAACCCGCTCCTGCGGTCCAGACAAGTGGATTCAATGACACTTATCTTGAACCCCAAGAGGAAAAGAAATGGTTGCCAATGTAAAAATTGGGGACCCATCAAAAAATTCCTTCATTTCTCCCTCTATAAAATTTCAAAATGTAAGTTCAGCTCCTGTGTTTGACCTAAACCGAGGGATTCAATGACACCTACGTTGGACTCAAAGTTAAACAAAAAGTTTTCCACTGTCAAAATGGATTTCCAACAAAAATGTGGTCATAGCGCCCTCTACAAAAATTTCAGGACTCAGTGCTGTATTTGAAGTCTGGTGTATACCCTGTCAATAGGAATGGAGCCAGGACCGTCCGTTGTGGAACCCCTGTACTTCTCAATAAGGCCCAGAAACACAGTTCCCCAGCGTGAAGAACTGTGTGATTCCTGTCAGGCAATTTGTGATCCAGGAAACACAGGTAGGATCCACGCCCATCTCTGTGGGCTTGTCTTTTAGTATGATCGGTTGGATGGTGTTGAACGTTATGGTGACCTGTTGTTATGATGACCTGTCAGTTCATTGACCTATTGTTATAAGTGGTATCATAAAAAAATAAGACCATCTTAAGAAGAGAGACTGATTTTTATTAGAAAACATAACCTGAAACTGGATATCTCTTGCAGGGTTTTATAGTCTTGAATATGTAAAGGATTCGTAATATCATTGACTTTGAAACCATTTAAGTTTTTTTTGTAGGATCAGATTAACAAAAAACAACTGGCACTCTCATGATCACTTCTAATTGTACAGGAAAAAGTGAAATATTGCAAAAAGTATAAATGGTAGAAAGGTGAAAAGTTCACCCCACTAGATGGTGCTGTCATACCATAATCAAAAATTACTATGGTTACATTCTGACTGTAAACTTCTTTTGAGTACTTCCACATTCCACGGGGAGGTTGTAATACATACATTTTTAGGCATTTGTCTATCCGAAGCACCTCGACTGATCATTTTTCCTTGTAATGCACATAAGACATACAATTTTAGCAATCTTTTTTTATTTTTACCTTCATCCAAGTATTTTAGCTTCAGCTCTGTAATATTTTCTACATTTTTATGTGGGAAGTCACTGAAGCACACCACTAGATGGTGCTGTTTTTCCATTATTACAAATGAGTCTCATCACCCTGTGATGAAGAAAATGTCAAGATGGAGAACCAACCATCAATGGTCACATATTGCCCCCTACCCAATTGAAAAATAAAAGCCCTTTTTCTGTGTACGAACCAAACTTTTGAAATAAAGTACAATTATGACAAACCGAAAGTTGAACATACAGGGCTCCAGCATCAAAATGGAGAATCAACTTCAAATAGCTCCAGAGTGCCAGCTTCAAATTAAAAAAAAAAAGTAAGCCCCACTCCTGTGTTTGACCAAAACCTTTGGAATTGATGTCACTTATGTTTGACCTCAAGACAAACAAAAATGGGTTCAATGTCAAAATTGAGGTCCTTCAAGAAATAACTACATAGCACCCCCTT